TTAGAATATTAATAAATTCTTAAGCCTAAGCTCTAAGGAGCCCAAACTCAAAGGAGTCCAAGCCCAATAATGTGCAAAGGTCCACGAATCCAAAAGCCCAAGAAATCAAATTCCCAAGCAGTCTTAAAAAGTCTCAAGTCTGCCTATGAATTATTTATAATGTTATGACGAAATGCATGATAGCACGCATAAATTAAAGTTATAACGTTATTATAACATTGTTATGATAATATAAATATTATTATTATATTGTTATTATGCCCAAATTATGATATCCACTATACAAATATTTCATTTGGTGATTTTGCATGCCCTATAGAATTATTCTATAATTAGGCTTATGGTATTTTGCATTATGCCATGTCATATAGATTAAGAACATGTATGTAATTCATCATGTATTTTGCATTTGATTTAAACTTTATATCCTTATGCTTCTTTATCTTATCTTGTTTATGCTATGTTATTAAGGATGTTGTATAAAATGTTATGTCTGCATCATGCATGATCGAAATCTAAGGTTACTAGTGAACTTATATAATTTTAGATATATATGTGACATCATGAAACATTCAAATAATTATAAATTTCATGTTTGTATTAAAATTGAGATAATAATATAATAGAATATTAATTTATATGTGAATGGTGGAAACTTTATTTATCTCAAACATAGTTAGGAGCTTTCATTCCTCTTAAATATGCATCCAAAATCTGCAAATCAATTACTTGGTGAAAACAAGACTCGAGGCCTTGAAGCAAGTGACGACTCCAATAATCTACCACTCCGCTCATATAGTAGCACGGTATAGGGTCTTAAAAAGGCGCTCTTATCCATGTACTATTTTTTTATTTAAAATCCCAATATCGTAGTTGTGATCCACTAATGTAAATATTAAAGTACTTATAATACTATAGTCTAATGCTTTTATCTTGCTTATTCTGTTCATTCCTTGATCTTTAAATTTATTGCATTACCATTCTTTAAAAGTTCCATCATTCACTTATTATAATTTTTTAAAATGAGTTAATTATATTTTTGGTATTTAAATTTTGAAAAAAAAATACAAATTGGTACTTAAAAAAATAAAATATATAATTTACATCCTCAACCTTTAAATAATATATTTTTTTAATTCAAATTTTAATATTTTTAATTTAATTTACCTATATAATATCTAATCAATATATTTTTGTTATATGTATATTATTTACTAAATAAAAATATTAAATATTTTGTAAAAACCTTTACATGGATGTCACGTAACCAAAAATTATCAATCTATCTTAAAAATTTTTACAATTCAAGAAAAAATAATTATAAATATCTAATTTTGTCTAAATTAATAAATAACATGTGGCAATAATTCTCCATGTTTTGATGAAGTGGTGGTAACTAGAAATATGACTTCAAGTGTTTGAAATGGTGGAAATAGTGAGGTGGTTGTCATGCATAAAAAGTTTTTTATGCAAAAGCTTAAATGGAGACAATTAGAAGCTACATTTACTCTTCCAAATTATGCATATCCACGTTGAATATGGGGACAAATTTTTGTATGCTTGAGCTGACGTGGAGCGACAAAGATTACACCATGTGCTGCTATCAGAAAAGTCCAAGCAAAATTTCAAAGTAAAACAGTCAAAAGTCATGGTTGACAAATGAAAGATAAGAAAACATGTGCTGCTTCACCTTTCCACCAATGCTGCCTCATTTAATTAAATAGCCAACCTCATGAGAGGAAAAAATGCTTCTACAATTCTCAAAACTGGAATTTATTAAATCAAATGAGAGCTGTTTGCATGTTGCATGAAAGAAAATGGAATTCAGTCCATTGACAAAAGCGTACAGTCTGTTGCACATGTCTGCTAAAGTGTTGAAATTTTTTTATTGTGCCATTAGTCTTTTATATTAATGTATTATTCTATAATTATTTATAGTTTTTTTTTTTCATTTGCTGTTCATTTCTTCATTCTTTAAATTTTTAAAAAATTAGAAAAACTTGAAAGATCATTTTTTTAGTTATCAAAACATTGGATATATTAGTTAATTATGAGATTTGTTTATTGAAGATATTTTTATTCAGGCTATAATGGATAAATCTTTGTTATACAATTTAAAATTTAAAAAAAATGTATAGAAGAAATAAGTAGTAATAAACAAATAAAGAATAGATCGTTAAATCTTCTGAAAGATGTAATTTTTTAGAAAGATTAAAAGAGTTCAAATTTTTTTAATTATTACAAGTAAAAATATTTTTGAATTTTATCAAAAAATTGAGATAATCTAAAAATTATTCTTACTAAATAAAGTTTTATTTGAACGACCAAAATAAATATATAATATAATATAATATTAAAATAAATAACCAAAAAAATAAAATTGTTTATTTGATTAAATTTGATTTTTTAAAAAAAAAATTGGAAGAGTGTCATTTTTTTAATTATTTTCAAAGAAAAATGATTTTTTAGGATTTCATTGAAGAGTTTGAATGATCTTAAAATCAATTTTACAAATGTAATTTTTATTTAGATAATCACATAATAACAAATAATTATAATAATAATCATAATTAATTTATAACACTTAAAATTATACATGTCATTCTTGAATAAAAAATATCTCATGATGAAATTTTGAAAATTTTATGAATGGTCAATCTTCACAAAAAGTTTTTGAATGAAGATATTTTCTATAAATACTGTTAGAGAGTTAGAGAATTTATAGAATGTATAAGTAATAAGTTTCATAAAAAAAAATAATACTTTTCCCATGAATAAATTTTTAGGAAATGAATTTTAAATATCGAAAAGATCATATGACCAAAAGAATAATACATGTTTAATTGGTACCATTCTTTGAATAGATGATGTGAGAAAGTTAGCATCTTCTTCACTCGTAACCATACTTTCGGACTTAATTCTAATTTCGTAAACCAAAATATTTTTTAATAAATTTTAATTAATTTTAAGATTTTTATTAAAAAATGATATGTTGAGTGGCCAATCACACCTATATAAAAAAAATGTTTTTTGACAGTGACTATAATTTAAATCTAACGATCAAATTCCCTAGCTGAAAAATTGTTACAACAATAAATATATATTTTAATTTATATTAAAAAAATATATTGATAGTATGCATGGTGAATATATAACTTAATAATATTTATCAAATATCACATACATAACCTGATATAATTAGCGAGATTAGAGTTTAAGTTAATATAGTATATAATTTGAAAGTTTATGGTATAAATTGTACATTATTTAAAAATTTAAAGTGCATATTATACATTTTTTTTAAATATCAATTTATACATTTTCTCAAATTTCAAATATCAAAATTATAGTTAACTATTCTCAAATCTTAATCATATACATGTAATGAAGCACATACATATCTTTAGGTCATGTTTGGTTTACAAGATTATAATAAAATAAGATAAGATAATATTATGAATAGAGTTAGATTAAATAATGTCATCTTATTTTGTGTTTGATATATCCAAGGATTATAATAAGATAATTTATTTATTTGTCAAAATTATCCTTCATCAAAATTTATATAATTTAAATTATTGATATAATTTTTAAAGGTATAATTGAACATGTAAATTTAATTATATAGATTAAAAATAATCTTTTTCCCTTGGATAGGATTAAATAATTCTATGCTATGAGGATATTAATCCCATAAATTATTAATATAATTTTTAAGGGTATAATTAAACATGTAAATTTAATCTAATAAATTAAAAATAATCCTCTTCACTTGAATAGGATTGAATAATCCTATGCTAAGAGGATATAATCCTCCTTGCAATTCTTATCCCTCTCGTTAAATACAAATAAAATATGATATAAAATAATTATCATCTTATCCTATCAATAATCCTATGCATCAAACATGACTTTAATATATATATATATATGAGAATGAATCAAATTAATATAATTTTTTATTTTTTATATTTTTTAATCTTTGATTTTAATAGATTCAATAGATAAGATTAAAACATTTTTGTTTATTTTTACTTTATCTCTTTCATTCCATTAAAACTAATAGTTAAAAAATATATAAAATTAAAAAAGTTTTATAATATATAAATTGATTCCTCGTGTATGTGTGTATGAAATAAATCAACTTACACCAATATAAAACTAAAAAGTTTTATATTTTTTTTAATTAATAATTTCAATCATTCCAAGAGATAAAAGAGATAAAGTGAAAAGAGAAAAAGAATAAAAAAAACTTAATCTTATCTTTTAAATCTATTGAAATCAATGTTTAAAAAATATATAAAAAAGTATAAAAATTTTTTTATGTAACCTTGATCCCTTATGTTATATTTATATATATATATATATGTATGTATGTATGTATGTATGTATGATATAAGGACATGTTCCCATCAACGTCTCGTAATTATTGATGAATATTATTTATTAATTACTGAAATTATTTTAACTCTAATTTTATCTAACAACTAAAATTTTAAGGTGATTAAAGCTGTTTATTGTGATGACAGGACACGCTTCCCCTTTGCATGGCCCTGCAGATGCAGCTGGTGAGTTTTTTGCATGTCAGTACTAGCTACTGAATCATCGGCTGCGGCTTTAATCATCGGTGAAGCTAGCTGTCAACAAAGGCCCGCACTCAGCTAATTTGGATCAGGTCCAGCACAATTAATAGCTTTAATGAAAGACGAAGAGTGCCATAGCCAACTGCCCATGGGATGTATACTCTTTTTCTTCAGGTTCGGCCTCATTAATAGAGAATAAATAAGGTAGATGATTGGGTAGCGAAAAGGCTTAATCTGGTAGATACCCGAAATACGGGATTTCTTTCCTTCCTATTGATCTTAACAACGTCCGGTTAGATTCTAAATTTTTGGCCCTTTTTTATTGTACTTCAAAAAAAAAAGGAAGAAACCCCTGTTTATGTAACTTTAACCCAATGGATTTTGACAAGCAAATAAAAAGCACATAAACACCATGTTTTGTGGGTATTATGCTTGGATCATATTATGAATAACGGCAATTGCCAACAGCCGTGTGTGGCTTGATGGTGCACTCCTAGTTCTAGTGATCAGAATTCAAACGCTGATACCTTCAAATACTAAAAAAATAATAATAATAACCGACAGGTCTTTAAGGTAAAATTTTTCTACTATTTTCAATACCAGAAAAGATTAACTGTCTTCCTACCTTATTTTCTGTCTGTAATGCTCACACATAATGTATAGCCTAACAACTTTTTAAACACTACAATAGAGTATGTATAAAACCTCTCAGAACAAGCTAAAAGAACCTGTACATATTAAGCAACTTCCAAGCTGTGTCGTCAAGGGATGATCCTCTAGACCTGGACTCCTATCCTTTGAGCAACCTGCATCAGCAGAATTGGTGGATCACGTAAAATTTTCAGGCCAAAACAGATTCTGAAAGGGGGAGTTAAAATTCAATACTTGAATTTCTATATCATTTTAATTTTATAGTTGATTATGATGAAGAGATAAGGTGACCACAGACAAAATCAAGGTGAATGGGTTACATAAAATGACAAAGGCGATTAAAACAGATATTGTGAAAAATGAACAGATAAAAGGGAAAGGATACTCCTATATGGCTAAATCATTACAATAACAGCAACCTCTCAGAAAAATATCCTGAAAAGCATGGCTCAGATATGTAATATTTTGGTCCAATTAGAAATGTTAATCCAATTATCCAAAACTTGAGTCATGCATCTGGAAAAAAAGATTCAAGCTGGCTTAGATTTGCTACAATCAAAATAGGTCAACAGAGCAAAAGCACATGCCAAACCTGAACTGAGTTGTGTGTGTGTTATGGAAGAAGTAAGGGCAGAAGCAAAAGTAGGGGTGACATGTTTCCATCAAGTTGCAAAGATGATTATCTGCAACTCCACTTAACTAGTTATTCATTTCTTAACCATGTTCATGCTTAAACAAACATGTATCTTTTCCTTTTTCTTAATGAAACATCATTACATAAATATGGCAAACAGAATTTCAATCAACTTTCATCTCCCACACATACTTTGTTCCTTAGCCCTTCCTTTTCCCAAGTATAAGATTTGGTGTATACCTCTTTAAACGAGTAAACGTCACTTCCCCAGAGCCAAGCATCACAACCTGCATCTCTGGCACCCCATATATCATTCCTGCGGTCATCCCCTACATGAACAGCATCCTCAGGTTTTACACCCAACAGCTCACAAGCTCTTAAAAATATTGTTGGATTTGGCTTTTCGGCTTCAACCTGGGAAGAACAAAGAAGGTAAGACAAAGAGAGATAGGAAAGTAGTCACCAAGAAAATTGGCAACATATAGATACAAATATTTGTCATTAATACAAGCTATCACAATTGCAAAGAGAACTAGATAAACATGAAACATCCTTTCATCAGGAATGCTCTACTATTAGAAACATCTACGTGGTAATGAGATTGGAAATGGATGCCAAAAAATGATAATATTAAATGCTTCAGAGACCAAATTAGAAGGGCTACATTTTAAATAGTCAGTTTATTTGATTTTATTTAGCATACCATTTTACTTTCCTTAGTTTAACACAACAACTAACAATCAATGACAAGAACTCAATGGCAATTTAACTTTTTTCTTTAAAATATTGAATCAATTAAAAATCAAATGGATATGAGATATGCGAATAGATACAAGTTTCCAGATTTCAACAGCAAACAGTCTAGAAAATAAATTAGGATCAAAGATATTTGAGAGGGAATGGTGTTAGTAAGCCAATGTTTCAACTTTTCAAATAGAGAGAGAGAGAGAGAGAGAGAGAGAGAGAGCTTACTTCAGCTGACACTGCCACAGCATCGAACCAATGATCACAATTCAGAGCCCTCAAGACAGCTCTTAACCGAGTGTCAAAATTTGACACCACAGCCACTTTTACACCAGCTGTTTTAAGAGCCTTAAATACTTTCTCAGCCTCAGGATCACAGAGATGCCAAGCCTTTAGAAAAGAAATGGGTAAATATTCATACACCTAATCATTACACTCACAAATAATAGACAATAAATACTAAAATCCCTACCTTGTCAGTGGTATAGTAGCTATAAAGCTCTTCGAAGTACTGAGAATCTGAGCAGCCAGTGGAAGAACTGACAATATATTGCCAGAAGGGTCTCCCATCGTTCACATATCTGCAATAAAACAAACAAAATGCTCAAATTAGCAATCAAGAGGAAAGGAAATCATTGCATGGCAGTAAGCTGGCAAACTTTAAAACCAACTTATTCAAATTAATTTCAATTTCAAATTAGTTCCATATCATATCAAGCAAAGGGATTAAGCTCTATTTTGAACATGCACATTCCCAGGGCAATGACATAAGAAATCAAAAGCATGAATCCCTCTCAGGTAGAAAGGACTTGAACTATTAGAACTACTGGAAAATAAAAAGAAAGCAAGAAAAGAAAAAGAAAAACAACATAAAAGTTATCACCTTACAGCAAGATGAATTATTAGAAACCAAATTAATCCGAACTTGCAACTTATAAGTCATGGAGAAGAGGGCAGTTCACCCAAGTTTCAATAAACAAGTATAACAATTTTGTCATTCAAGTCATCCTTTGAGTTACCTAATATATCACCTTCAGGATTCAGCACCAGAACTACAACTGAAGTAATAACAGTAAAATCAACTAAACAAAAGTAAGTATCGAAGAATCTTTAATGAGTAAGTGTTAAAGGGAGAAACTGAATTCAGAAACAATGGACACTAGAAAGTATGCATGAAAGCTCAGTTACCAAAAACAAAAAAAAAAACTTAAAGCCAAAAATAAAGGTTATTGAAATTTCAGGCAGATTCTGTTTCAACATTTCCACTATGTGACCTACTGAAAACACACTAATATGAGCAGCATTGCATGTATAGCCAGCATAAATTCTAATCAAATTAATATAAAAAAAAAGGATTTTCACAGCATTGAATGTTGGCTGCTATGTTACTTGGAGTTGGGGGGTGAGTGTCGGATACGAGTATGTTTAATTTTCTTTTTATAAGTCATTCCCTATATTTGGAGGGTAAAACCTCCATACTCATGTCCTTTGGATATTTTCAAACATAGGTACTTCGAGGAAACTGAAGAGTCAAAGCAACATATGTTGGCTGCACTTAAGAGCTTAAATCATTTTTGCCATAATATTAGTGATATGAGGATACTCAAACATTATAGTTAAGATCTTATCAAATGTTTACATACCATGACTCAAAGCAAGACACCATGTCTTTGAGCAACAGTCAGTTAGCAATGGCACTCACAAGTATATACAAGCTTAACAATGTATTCATGAAATGCTACCTTTTAATTTTACCATAAAATGTTTCACTGTGTTTTTGAAATGCGAGTTATTTACTAATGTCACACTCGCACACGCTTGACAACTTCTTGATCACATATTACCTTCACCTTATTACAAAAAAAAAGTTTCCTTTATTAGCAAAATGTTATACCCTGATATAAATTTACCTTTACAGTTTTATAACTGAGTCATGTCCAGATTTCATGACCAAATTGATTGATTAAATGTTGGATAAGGAAATATGAGGAAGAGAATTTACAAAATCAGATATTAATTATGAGGCAAAGACTATAATTAACAGCCATGAATTATTTATAAATGTCATTCAAAAGCAACCGTACAAGGGTTTTGATTGCATACTACCATTACATTGATTACATGACAAAGTTTTGCTTCATTACCAAATTGTTCCACCCAAATTTCATTTTTAATTTACTGTTTAGGACAAAGTGAGGTGTAATATCCCATGACCAAATCCATTAATACAATTAGATACGGAAAAACCTAGAAGGGATTTACAAAATCCAATATTGAAGATGATGCAACGTGGAAAACACCAAGTTTTAAAGCTGTCAATCATTTGTCCATGTGACACACAAACAAGCTTGGAAATGTCCTAAATCTTAATCGCACATGACCTTCACCTTTATGACAGTAGAAAATTTTCTGTCTTTACTGAATTGCTCCACCAAGATTTCATCTTCCACTTATAGTACCCAGTCACGTGAAAGATTCCATGACAAAACTTGTTAATTACATATAGTTAAGGGAACATTTAGGATGAGACTTTACAAAAATCCGGGATCATAAATGAGGCAAAAGTAAGAACTTAACAAAGAAGTTAATTCAAGAAAATGATTTTAGATGAGTGATTCCAAGTTTGGGTTACTTGACTTCCGGATGCAAGTATAGTAGAAAAGGGAAACACAAACTCTATACTTTTACCCCCAAATGAAACTCCGTAACAGGACAGTAACAAGAAAGTGACACAGTGGCATGACAAAGGAAATAAAAAACAAACGAACATTTTTTTTCTTTTTGTAATTGGAGAACCAACCAATCAAGAAAGTGGAGGAAAAGGAAACGGAATTATTAAAGAAAGAATACCTGAGACGAGATCTACCCCAAGGCTGAGCATAAGCCCATCTATATCTGTTCAATATCTCAACTTCAGAGTACTCCACCCCATATTTCTCCCCTATCTCTCTATATATCTAAAACCAAAACAAATTAAAGTATTAAACCAACATCTGTAAATTTTTCAAAATCAAATTTCTACAAAAACCCAAAAGAAACATCAAACATGCTTAAACTGACATGTATAGACATGACCTGCAATGAAATGTAATGTAAAAAGTAAGTAAAAGAGAAAGACCTGAGCCATGGGCTGAGATGGAGCCAAGAGGGTGCCAACAGCGTCGACAAGAAGAGCCTTGTGAGTGATCGCTCCATAAAGAGACCGCCTGTAATCATCATAGTCTTTCACTCCCAGTACTTCCAATCCCATTGGCTCTCTTTGAGGCGCCACTGCTGCAGCAGAGGAAGCTGACGAGAAGCTGCAGTGAAATGGGTCTGGCCGCATAGAGCCATTGAAGTTGAAGGCGCTGGACTCGGGTCTGAGGGTCCGGGTTAAGAACCTACATAACTTGGTTCTTGTTGCCATTAGTGCCATTTTTTTAGAGCTTCATTTAACTTTCTTTTGCTTTGTTTTTTATTTACTAACCGAGCGCCACAGAACTCATAAGAGAAGAACCTCGATGAAACAATGAAATTGACCTATTGTTTCGAGGCCTTAAATAAATCTGCGCTTCACTGATATTACTATTATACCCTTCCTTCACATTTTCCTCTTTCTTTTGTAAGAAATTAAATAGAGCATTTTCTAACTCGATCGCCCGCCATTGAGATTTTTGTTTGAATTTTTTTTAATTCCCCTTTTATGTTGTAATAAACTAAATAAATAGTTTATTACAATATAAAAAAATTATATTATAGTTGAATTGTATATGATTTGTATGATAAATTTTATAATGTAATCAATATAGATCGTGATGATTATTCTTTGGAATAATATGTTATATTAAACAATTTCAACCTTATAATGAGTTTCATATTTCTTATTTTAGATAAGTTAATTAGCCACAACAATCATTGCAACCTTTTTTTATATATAGAAAAAATCAATGATCATGTTACTAATCAATCAAACGACTGATTAAAGGGTATGCCCCATATATCTTATCAAATATATCAATCAATCAGTCATAAATTAGAAAAAAAAAAAAGCTGCCTGCCCATTTTGTAAATAAGTAGAAAAAAGAGGCCATTTGGTTAATTTAATTGGCTGAGAACCTGGCTGGGGAAAGAAATGATGCGGCAGGCAAAGGAAGAGGGTTGAGATCCACGTCATCAACTTCTGAAACACGAAGCATCAATCACATCGCAAAGTGGGACCCACTGCCCAGACTTGGGTGAAGTGGGGCCCAGGATTTACACCCCTCCCCTCAACGATCGTCAGCCTCAACAACAAGTCCAGCTCAAGTCGTCTCTTCCGTTGAATATGGAAGCTCTTCTGGATATTTGCTTTTTTTTTTTTTTTTTTTCTAATTTATCAATAAAATAAATTATTATGGAAAATTCATTTGTTTTATGGTAAACTACAAAAAAAAAAAAAAAAAATCCGTCACTGCAATTTAAAATTAAAAATCACTCTTCCTTACGTGCCATGAAAATGAAACCATTTTCAATTGCTCAAGGCCTTCTCATATCACACTTATAACTTGTCAGGACACTAAGGAATTGAGGAATATTTCGCCTTTTAGAGTATTAAAATGGCATTTCAAAATCATAAATGAAATCTTACGCGTTGGTTTTTTGTTTCACGGTGGCCATAACTTGTCAAAAGTTCAATTATAAAATCACTAAAATCTTTTATTAATCATTGGTGAAAGCATCCTGTAATTCATAAAAAAAAAATTGATACTATTATTTTATTAACCGGCATACAAAACTTTATTTCATTTCATAGATTAGTTTTTTTTTCTTTTCAATTTTCTTGGTAATGAAGAAAGGCATTATTTAAGTGCAAATGGAGAACAATCTTCTTTACCAGATAGAGAAAAAGAAGCTAACGATGGATGACCTTATCATCTATGCATGTACTGTAACTTTCAATTTTACTTTGGACCGCAAGTTGAGAGAGAGAGAAAAAAAAAGTTGTTGAATATATTTGGTTTAGATAAAGATTATATTTAATACATTATTAATTATAAATATTATAAATTATTAATGTTTCATAAGTTATTATTTCATTGATTAGTAAAATTAAAATTTTCAAGGTTTTGAAAATTAAATATCACAAAATATAAAATTAAAAGATACTTTTAAAGACTTTAAATTTTAATTTTTTTGAATTTACATTAAATTTAATAAAATTTTAAATTTATTAATAAATAATTTGATAATTTGTGATGTACAATAAATAACATCTACATAAGAATAATATATTAAATATAAAATTATTAAATAATTCACATGTCACCTTCGGTGGAGGAGTGCAAAACTTTATGGCAATCAGGAAAAACAAAACAAATACTTAAAAAATATATTAATTAATTTAATTACAACAAGAGCAGACGGAGTGTTAGAAAATTTAGGACCACGTAAGCATTTTGAGGATAGAAATGAAACAGAAGTGTAACCACAGATTCTGTATTATTGGTTTGAAAAGGAGGAAACGAGTTGGGACATCAAAATATTCAAAGATTAGCGATTAGAAGAAGACAGCTCCAACGACTGGTTCCCACACTCGCCGGTCTTCATTGTTGAAACTGACGCTTTCAAATTTTGAAATAATGTTTTTTCTTTTTTTGTACATAATCAACGTAATTTTAGTTAACATTATTTAATTTATATATCTAAAGTATATAAAAATATAATATAATTAAAATATCAAATAATAATTCAATTAAATTTTTATTAAAAATTTACAAAATACAAAACATATGATAAACAATATTTGAAGAAAAGTAAAATATTTTTAAAAAAATTATAAATAGTATTTTTTTATCACACCAATTAAATGTTTAAATAGAGACTAAAACTTTCTATCACTTCAAATTAAATGTCTTCAATTTTTTGCATCTCTATCTGGCATGATCATTCATATGAACCTACAAGTTTATACAATTTTGAGATAAATTTTATTTATTTAAAAGTGATCATAATTTTAAATGTTTAAATAATGTATGTTATAATTTATTTTTATGTATATATATATATTTTTACAGGAGTTTTAATAATATGTTGATGTTCAGCATTTATATGACTTGCCAAATTTTTATACTTTTCGATTTATTTGAGCTTGACATTTAATGCAGAATTATATTTATGTAAGAGATAAAGTGAAATAAAATTAAATTTTGAATAAGTAATATTATTAAATTTTAAACAAATATTAAAAATGCTCAAAAGGCTTTAATGAAATGTATTATCCTAATTACCTTTCGTATTTTTTGAAGTAAAATTTTTCTTTACTTGATATATCTTTTGAACATATGTAACTGTCAATTTTAAACTCTATGAAAAAAATTGAAATCATTAAGTTTTACTTTAAAAGTATATAAACAACTTAATAACTTTTTTAATTTTTTTTTTATTTTGACATCTTCATTCTCCGGTGAGTAAGTTATGCAAAACTTTAATTAAGTAATCTTGATATTCATAAAAAGTTGTAAACTTGTTACGAAACAATAAAAAATTATTCTTCATTTCTGCTCAATTGTATAATATAGAATTCGATTAACTTTTTCATAAAAAAACAATTAGTGCATTGCTAGTCATGTAAAATAGGTTAATGATTAACTTAGGTTTAGTTTGATTAAAACAAACTTAGGTTTAGTTTAATAAAAACAAATATATAAATATCCATACAATCATTTTCAAAAATTTACTTTCTTTTTTCAAAATATTTCCACAAATTTTCCACAACCTTAGGTTTAGTTTAATAAAAACAAAAATAGAGATATCTATACAATTATTTCCAAAAATTTACTTTCTCTTTTAGCATATTCCCACAAATTATACTTAAATTAAGATATAATGTTTATGAAATTTAATGATACTTTACTACTGAAAGTTGAATTTGATTGTTACAATCTTTACAAGCATGGCTTGCATCAACTTCTAATACCTTTTTTAATGCACTGCACATGACAAATAATATCATCTATAATTTATGTCAATTCAGAATGTAGTACCTCAACAAGTGTATTTTATCACTACACTTGTTGATGGTAAAAGTATAAAAATATTTTTGTAATTATAATTTTATATATACATTTACATTGAAATTTATTTAAGTAGTATTCATATTTCATACCTTATGTAAATTATAATGCATGACTTGGAAACTATCAGCCGTGGATCTTCTTGTTACAAATAACAATTTTTTTTTTTAAAGATATGTCTTATTGAATCATTTCTAGGTAGAATAAAAAACTTTTCGAAATCGTAATCCATGTCAAATCTTCATTTTCTTGTGTTACAATTAAAGGAAACCTCTTATCATCCAAGTATAATAGCCATTGACTAAAATTTAGTATTGAATTGCATGAAGAATTTTTTAATATAATATTTATAGAGAGAGTAAATAAATGAAAATAATCTTAAATATCATATTAAGAAAATTTAGCAATTACAATATCACTATTGTTACCTTAAGGAACCACTAGCAATATTTGTCTAAAATCACATTATAATATCATAGTTTCCTCTTCCTAAATATACTTTTGTTTAGAGTTGGGATCATTGAAACATATTATATATCATAACATATGATCAACAGCTTCAAATGCATGTTCGTGTGCCATTAGAATTTCATCTTATATGATCAAATTTACCTTGCAAAGTAATTCAACAAGTGGAGTGCCTTGTTTAAAATCATAGTATGAATATTTATCTAATTTCAGAGGTATTTTAAATTTAAAGTATGTTGTTCTCCCTTTAGGCAACAAAGAATATCGATCCACGAATATGCAATTACAATAACATATTACCTTAAGATAAAATCCTAGTAAGAATTGTTCTCTATAAATAAGTGTTCTTGTACCTCCATTTCAATAAATAAAAAAATATATGCCACTATCATTTTTCATAGAATGAACACTGTATGTAACTTTTTTTGTCATTGTTAAGCCTAACATGTAGTTGATTATAACATCGTAATAACACATATCTGTCATAATTCATTTCCTCCACAACTAAAGTATTACGTTTATAAATGGATGACACCAAATTTAATAGGTAAAAGTCTTAAACTCCATCAATGATCTTTCATTTATATTCATTATATTCATTATCTGGTCATTTATATGCCCTTCTTTATCAATATAAAATATCTTTATAGAACAATTCCAAGTTCTTGTTCACCAATCAACTTGTTACATAACTTCATAAAAGAAAAATAGTGACAAATAAATCATGTAATTGACGTTCATTGGCCCATGAGATGCTTCACGTAACATTTCATATCACTCATTATTACCTTTAAGTAATTCCAATGCCTCAAATATCTTTGTAAGTTAGATAATAACTCTATCAATTGTCATTATTTCCTTGAAGGATCTACCACCCTTTATGACATTAAACAATATCCTTAAGAAGTATCTCTCACTAGAAAATGAATAAGCTTAATATGGCTTGTGGATAATTCTATAATTTTATAGAATTATCATAGTATTTTATGGTGTATTTTTTACTTAAGTTTCAAGGAAATT